ATTATGACTGCCTTTGCATGTAGTAATATGACAAAGTGATCCTTCATTATCACGGTACACTATTGTTTACTTTTCATCTGTAAATGTTTTATTGTTACTTTTTTAAAATGGATTTTTTTAAAAACAACCTAGCCTTCATCAAGGTGCTATAAGAGTTGTATAAAAGGTATTTCTGGCATTTCTAGGCAAGTATCAGCCAACAAGTATGTTAGTGATATCACAGATTGTACCAACTATTAACTATGTTAAATATGTATTCAGTTTCATGTGATCTCTGGGAAAAAAAAATATGCTGCCTTGGTGCTAATATTGTATGTATTTAAATGATAATCTGACTCAGAAATATAAACACTTTCAATGAAAGGGAGGAACAGAAGGACAATTTCCAGTGCACAGTATCACTTGGATGAAATGAGACCAGCTCTCTACCCTTATTTTTGGACATGCCTTTTTTGAAAGAGACGTGGACTTTATCCTTATTGTTGTTAGTGTTGTTAATATTCTTTGCTTCAGCCCATGGTGCCTTGGTCTCTCTACAATCAAATGGAGGATCCCCCACGCAGCTTCATTACAGAGTGATATTGGGAAAGTGAGATCATCTCACCATTTTGCCAAGATACTCTAAAATTACATCCAAGTTTACCAGTAGAAAGACAGAGGATACACAGAATGGGTGTGACCTTCAGCTTACCAGCACACCTGGAGAAGTTCAGAACCAGGTTCTGAATCATCAGGATTGCCTTTTGCATGAAAACATTGGCTGGTGACATGACTTCTCTTCAGGCCATGAGCCTAACACCCTGCCAGTTTTCATGGCCGCTGCAGTAATGGACGTTTGTGTGAAGAAATGAACTGTGGAATACAAAATGCTTTGAGTCTTTCCAATCGTTCATTAATTCACTTTTTGTTACTTCTTTCCAAAATGGAAGTGCTGAAGCCATGGTCTTTCTGCCCTTCCAAACTGAAGAAGAGAAGTCTTTGCCAATGGTCCATGGAAGACACTTGGTTTGAGAAACCCTGCCCACTTCCAAAGACCAAAGAGATTAGGAAAAGCCTGGCAGTATTCTCCAACTCCAAGCAAGCTCTAGAGTGCTCCAGGAAAAGTTATACTCAGTATATGAATAAGTGTTATTCTCCATTATTAATATGTTCTGAAAATATATTATGAATAAATACATCACCACACCCAAACCATTTGTGTTTCGCATAGTTTCTGGACTCTTGATTCGAGTTGGAGTAAGAACGTCTCTAGTTTCCAGATTGAGAAGAAGTGAAGATTTTATTGATTTCATTTATTACAATTGCAATTCTAAAGACAGATAGGGATGAGGATTGTCCATAAGATCTGTCTTTTCATCATGGAAGTCAATTAAAGTGGTTCTTCTGGAAACTGGGAATTTTCCCCTCTTGGGAAACAAATGAGCAAACAAAACAAAATATTTATGTGCACTTTAAGTGCTCAATTGTTCATTTTGTGTGTAGTTCCTACCCTGTATGGTGTCCAAGGAAAAATGAGAGCTTTCTAAACATGTCTACTAGAAGCAAATGATAATCAAACAGCCACCATATGCCAGGCCTTTTACTTTTATTGTTTCACCTCATCCTCACAACCACAAAATACACCAAGGAGACAGAGCCTTAGAGTTGCAAATAGGCTCAAGTTCACACACAGTGAATAAGTAGTCATCTCCCAAAGAAGAACTCTGTTTGGCTCTGATTGGGTCACATGACCACTTCTGGACCAATCACAATATCAAGGGACCTGGGATCCTGTGCTAGTCTAGAGTTAGGTGATCAACAGCTTCAACTGAAAAAGAGATGGTTTCCAGAAGAGAAAAGGGGAGATGGGATGGAGACATGAAAAAAGAAGCAGGCATCCACTCAAATTCCCATTTTGTGTATGTGTGTGTGTGTGTGTGTGAGAACACATGCATGTGCCTGTGTACAAACTCCAAACCCCAGAGCTTACACCAAAGTCCCACCCCTTGCCATCACTCAGCATCATTTGAGGCTTCAGTTCTCGTCCTTTCTCTGGTGTTTACTAACTGTATGATCTTGAGCCTTAGTTTTTTTCATGTGTAAAATGAGGCTATTGATAATCTTCCTACTTACTTTCCAGGATTAAGTGTTTTCTCATATCCTTTTCAGCCCTGCATCAGTGCTAGCAAAATAGCTGCCCTCAAAATGTGCATCAGCAAGCTTAAGCTGACAGCAGTGAAGGCATGGGCTCCGTAATCAGTTAGGAATTATGTTCAGCAGCTAATTACAGAGATCTGACTGCAATGGCTCACATATTTAAAAGTGTATTTCAGGCCGGGCGTGGTGGCTCACGCCTGTAATCCTAGCACTTTGGGAGGCCAAGGTGGGTGGATCACGAGGTCAGGAGATCGAGACCATCCTGGCTAACACAGTGAAACCTCGTCTCTACTAAAAATACAAAAAAAACCCCACAAAAAATTAGCCGGGCATGGTGGCAGGTGCCTGTAGTCTCAGCTACTTGGGAGGGTGAGGCAGGAGAATGGCATAAACCTGGAAGGTGGAGCTTGCAATGAGCTGAGATCGTACCACTGCACTCCAGCCTGGGCGACAGAGTGAGACTCTGTCTCAAAAAAAAAAAAAAAAGAAAAGAAAAAAAGTGTATTTCATTGTTATGTAAAAGTATATTTCATTGTTATGTAGGAGGTAGGCAGTCCAGAACTAGCATGACAGCTCCACGACTTCATCAGGGACAGAGTTCATTTCTCTTTCTCCTTCTCTCTTCATTCTTCCATATTTCAGTATGACTGTTGGAGCTCCAGCAATCACTCCCAAATTTCCAGGCGACAGGAGAAAAAAAAAAAAACAACAACTAGGAGTAGGGGGAAGGGTAGAAAGTGGCATATTTTCAGTTCTCTATTGTTCTTTTAAAGAAGTTTTTCAGAAACCTTACCTAACATATTTTACTTATATCTCCTTAGTCAGAATTTAGTCATGTGGTTGTAGGAGTAGTGGAGAAATGGGGTTGTTTCACACAGTACATTGCCATAGAAAATAAAATGAGGGATCTGTTCCTAGGAAAGAAAGCATAATGAATTTGAAAGAGGCAATTAAAAGTCTCTGCAATAGATCAAGTACAGAGATTGAAGAGAGAAAGTTTTGGAAGCATTTATAGAGTACGTAAGAGATAAATGAGACCTGGAGTGGTGATCATTGTAATGGTAGGAAAAAGAAACAACCATAGAGAGCTATAGGTGGCAAAATTAATAGGAGCTGACAACTGATAGATTTGGGATGGGTTGTGGGAGTGAAGGAACCAGTAAGAGCTTAAAGATGAGACTTTATTTTCGTTGTAAACACAACCAAGGTGACAAAAAGATGAATGGGTGGGTGGATAAATAGACACATGTACAATTATGAGAGTCCAGTAATCATTTATATTTGTGTAGCACTGCCAAAATTAAATATTGTCTTTGCATTTTATTTATTTAACCAAGTAATGTTTATTGCATATCTACTAATTTTTAGGCACTCATCTAAGGCTTGGGTGCAGCAGTTGCAGTTAAGGTAAAGGCTAAGACAGCATGAGTTTGATACCACATACAGGGTGGTATCAACAACAGAAATTTATTCTCTCACAATTCTGGAGGCTGGAAGTCCAAGATCAAGGTGCTCTCAGGGTTGGTTTCTGGGGAGGCCTTTCTTTCTGGCTTGTAAACAGGCCTCTTTTCCCTGTGTTCTCACATTGCCTCTTCTCTGTGTGTATGCGCAGAGAAAAAGAGACAGAGATTTCTGGTGTCTCTTCCTCCTTTTAACAAGATCACCATTTCTATCAGATTAGAGCCCTGCCCTTCCGACCTCACTTAACCTTCATTACCTTCTTATAGGTATCTCCAAATACAGTCACATTAGAGTTAGGGCTTCAATATAGGAATTCGGGGGGTAAGGACTGGGGACAAAATTCGGTCCATAAGAGAGGCTGTAACAAAGAGACTCCAAAGTAAGGTAGACTTAATTTCTCTTACTTGCTGTCCAGAGGTAGCAGGTACTCTGGGACTGGTAGGTGACTCTCCTCCCTAACATCAGAGGACTAAGATCCTTCTTTTTGTATCTTGGCCATTCTCAAAGCCGTTGTCCTCATATGGTTCCTCCTCGCAAGGTCTGCCTCCCGCCTGCAGGAAGGCAGCAATTGTTTGAAGGCAAGACAGGGAAGGTAAAGCATAATTGTTATTTACAACGTCTTGGCAATATTTTATTGGCATAGCCACACCTAGCTGCAAGTGAGGCTGGGAAATGTACTTTCCAGCTGGCAACCACATGCCCAGCTCATAGGAAGTGGAGGTGGGCAGACTCTGTTACTATAAGGAAGAAGGAGAGAATTGTTTGTTACTGAGAAAGTTAGTTGCTTCTGCCACAGACAGTGAACAAAAGCTACAAAAATCTCTCTCCCTTTGGAGCTTACATTTTGGCAGTGACAGAAGAGAGAGAAAACAAGCAAATCAACAACTAAACCACCCTGCAATTATTTTCCAGTCATAAATCTGACCGTATTGTCCATCATGGCCACCCATCTACCATCATGACCTGGGATGGCATTCCCTGAGCACCAAGAACTTTCATACCCCCAGAGTGTGCAAAGATGCCGTGGTTCCCTTTGCCTTGGCATGCTGATTTTAATTTATGCCCTGATTGGTACAGAAGTGAAAAATAGCAAGCGAAACCTAGTGTGTCGGAAGGTGAGAAGCATCAGAGAGAGAAATAAAACAGGGAAAAGGAATTGGGAATGCCAGATGCCATGGGGTGAGCATGTTGCTGTTTTAAATAGGATGGTCAGACATTTCTTCTTTACAAACTTCATAGCTATGAGCAAAGCTGTGGGTCCCCATCAAAGTCTGCCACTAACCTCAGTGAGCATGGGAAACCACCTATCACCAACAGATGGCGGGAGAGGTCTTGCTCTATTATGTCTGGGCCATTGCACTGATTATCTGCTTATTTTATTTTATTTTATTTTATTATTATTTTTTAATATGGAACACTTTACGAATTTGTGTGTCATCCTTGCACAGGGACCACACTAATCTTCCCTGTACAACTCCAGTTTTAGTATATGTGCTACCCAAGCAAGCTCTCTGCTCATTTTAGAGGTGATTTTGCAAAGCAGCTTATGATCCTTAGAAGTCCTAAGCCCTAAAAAGATGATACTGCTTCCCTCAATATGTACCTCAAAATGAAAAATAACTCCAAGATGCAGTGGCTCAGGCATATAATCCCAGGTAGGAGGACTGCTTGTGGCCAGGAGTTTGAGACCAACCTGGGCAAGACAGAAAGACCCTGTCTCTAAAAATAAGTTTAAAAATTAGCCAGGTGTGGTGGCACATGCCTGTAGTCCTAGCTACTTGGGAGGCTAAACTGGGAGGATTGCTTGAGCTCAGGATTTAGTGGCTATAGTGAGCCATGATTGTGCCACTGTACTCCAGCCTAGATGACATAACGAGGCCCCATCTTTTAAACAAGAACTCCAGACCAGGAAGTTAGTCTTTTTCCACGAATATTGCTTTTCCTTTTAAATATCAAATACTGATTTCTCCAAAAAAAAATTTGAAGGCAATTTTTGCTTTAGCTCTAGGCGCATGTTTTGTCTGCCAGGTAGGCGATCAACTGGTTTTACAACATTATTCACCCCACTGATTTTCAGTAGGGACAAAAGGAACAAATATTCGAAGTGCTAATAAGAAGGGCATCCAATTACAATGGGAAAGAAAAAGTGACTTTGCACAGAAATGTACATCTTCATATGTGGCTTGCATCCTGCCACTTGGTTTGGACTTAGGATCAAATGCCTTATAGGCCACTGATAATGAGATGTCACAGTTTGGTCAAGGATGGTGCTGGGTGTAAAATAGAATTGATATTCAGTTTATTACATTTACAAGTTCAGAAGCCTAGTTGTTCCTTAAGCTTTTGAGTCAACCTTACAAATTCTATCATTTTATTTATTTACTAGCCTAGTTTTATTCAATTACTTTTAAAAAACCGTTTGACTAATGTTTGTCTCATTTGTGACTTAATTAAAAGGCTTGAAATATTTTATATCACATTTGTACATTTAACAGATTGTATTTATGTCTTAGGTCCTTCAGTTATCTCATTCAGCAAACCTTTCTGAAGACTTAAATGATTTAGGCCAGGCACAGTGGCTCACACTTGTAATCCCAGCACTTTGGGAGGCCGAGGAGGGCGGATCACCTGAGTTCAGGAGTTGGAGACCAGCCTGGCCAACATGGTGAAACCCTGTCTCTACTAAAAATACAAAATTAGCTGGGTATGGTGGTAGGCACCTATAATCCCAGCTACTTGGGAGGCTGAGGTAGGAGAATTGCTTGAACCATATATATGTGTGTGTACATATATATGTGTACACACATATATATAGAATATGAATATTATGTAAATCAATGGACTTAAAGTTATTTAAAATATTCCAAAATAGAAAATCAGTGTACTATAGTTTTGACTTAATATCACAAATCTAAATCAAGTACTCAATGACATGTTTTAAATTGGCATTATAAGCTGCCACTCTAAAAGTTCAAATTTTTAACACCATGACAATATAAACAACTAAGTAAGTTTTAACATATTCTTCAACACAAAAATCTTAATGTTTCTGATGTATTTGAAGATTTTTATGTCTCAGATCTCATTCTTGGTATGAATAAAAGTTGTGTGCTCATATACCTATTGTAGAGCCAGAGGTTCCTTTGGGCACAGGTCTGGAGTGGAAGACAACCAGGGCAATTCTTTTTACTCCAATTAAGGAAACTATGAGATCATCCCATGTAAATCTGAGGGAAGCCTTCTATATTGGTTTCCTATGTTGCTGCGGCAGATTACTTCAAACCTATGTGACTTTAAACAACACCCATTTATTATCTTACAGTTTTGAAGGCCAGATATTTAAAATGGGTCAGCAGGGCTGCATTCTCTCTGGAGGCTCTAGGTGGAGAATCCGTTTTCTTGCCCTTCCCAGCTTCTAAAGTCTGCCTGCATTCTTTGACTAATGACCCCTTCCTCTATCTGCAAAGCCAGCAGTATAGTATCTTCAAATCTCCCTCTCTCTCTCTGACCTCTGTTTCCATCATCATATCACCTTTTTCTGGCTTTAACTCATTTGTCTTTCTCCTGTAAGGACCCTTATTATTCCACTGGGCCTGCCGGGTACCCTAGGATCATCTTCCCATCTCAAGATCCTTAACTTAATCACATCTGCAAAGTCTCTTTTTCCATGTAAGGTAATATAAAGGCATGTATACAGGTTTTGGAGATTAGGACATGGACATCCTTGGGAGGCTGTTATTCTGTCTACTCCCTCTTCTGCAAACACCAGATGCTGGTCTGTCCAAATCCCCAACAAGCCACACTGGACTTTATGTCAGTGACCCTTAACTTCAAGTGAGGGATGTTCCCATAGCCCACGTTCCTGGATTCATATTCCATGTATTGCCTAATTTTTCTGTCTACATTCCAAAGTCTGCAGCCATTTTATTGCTTGATTGATTTTGTATGTGGCTGTTATATACAAATCTCATTCTGCCTTGATCCAAAGACTTTTGAACTTGACAAGAATCCTACATTCTTACACATACTTCCTAGGACATAGAATTCTTATAGTGCTAGGTGATGGCACACTGAATTCTGGATGTCTCTCGTGGCTTTGTCAAGGCTCATAAGACCTCCCTTATGACAGACACTTAGTACATGAGCCATTATTAGGTGCAGAAACTTCATTGGCATACTTGGTAGCAGTGCTGTCTTCATCTTTCTTGGTGAGCCAGGATACTTCTTCAGTGCTTATTGCTCAGCTTCACAATACCACAGAATAGATGCACCTCTGTGAGCCTTCTGAGCCCCAGCATGACCACGGCAAAAGCAGGAGACTTAGTGGGATCCCGGGTGGATCCTGGACATACCCCAGCCTTAGTCAGTCTCTCTAGGGGTGGGACCTGAGAATCCGCCTTTTTAACAGGCTCTCCAAAAGACCTTTATGCACGCTAGGGAGACCCACCTTTAGAGTGTCCTTGACATACAGCAGTGGAGTCTCTAGGCAGTGGCAATGTCCCTTATCCCATTACTTTAGCTCTACAATTTTTTGCATGGTGGACATGTGGTCAGGACCTACAGGCTCTAGAACAGGACACAGCAGCTTACGTGGGTCTCCCTACTCCCCAGTTGTATGACTTTGAACAAGATCCCTACAGTCTCTGGCCTCACCTTCCTCATCAATGAGATGGAACATATTATTGGCACCAGCACCCACATCATATGGTTGCTGTGAAGCTCATTGTGTTAATACATTTAAAACACTCAGAACACTGGCTGGTACATAGTAAGTACTCAATATCTCTTAGCTATTTGAAGTTTATGTAATACATAAATGCTACATATAATCTGTGTTTTAGTTTGGGAAAGGTTATCATGGAGAAGGTGTTGGCCCAACTTTCATCTCAACTCCACAACCAAGTGTTGAGAAAACTGGATTTTCCTGTTTATATATCCTTCTAAGATTTCATTTGCTTGCACAATACTTCAGTTTTTTCTGTTTCCTTTCCCTAAATGCAGATGCATGTTGTTCAACAGAAAATATCAAGACTAAAAGGGGCCTGAAAGGGCATATAGATAGATCAGCAACAACAGAAATAATAACTATATCATAAGAAAAATATTAACTACATTTGTTGACCATGCCTTAGTCTGTTCAGGCTACTATAACAAGATAGGGTGGCTTATAAACAATAGGAATTGGCCAGCTGTGGTGGCTCATGCCTGTAATCCCAATGCTTTGAGAGGCCGAGGCGGGTGGATCACAAGCAGGAGTTCAAGACCAGCCTGACCAACATGGTGAAACCCTGTCTCTACTAAAAATACAAAAATTAGCCAGGCGTGGTAGTGGGTACCTGTAATCCCAGCTACTCAGGAGGCTGAGGCAGCAGAATCGCTTGAACCTGGGAGGCAGGGGTTGCAGCAGGCCAAGATCAGGCCACTGCACTCTAGCCTGGGCGACAGAGCAAGACTCCATCTAACAAAAAAAAAAGGAATTTATTTCTCACAGTTCTGGAGGCTGGAAAGTTCAAGATCAATGTGTCAGCAGACTCAGTGTCAGGTGAGGGCCCACTTTCTCATAGATAGCTGTCTTCTCATTCTAACCTCACATGACAGAAGGAGTGAGAGGTCTCTTTCAGGCATCATTCATAAGGGCCTTAATCCCACTTATGACGGCTCTACCCCTATGACTTAATCATCTTCCAAAAACCCATTTTCTAATCCCATCACCTCAGGGAGTAAGTATTTCAACATACAAATTTGGGGGGGACATGAACATTTAGACCATAGAAGACCATTTACTCTGTGTGATGGTTAATTTTATGTGTCAACTTGATTAGGCCATAGTATACAGTTTTGGGTCAAACACCAGTCTAAAGGTTGCTGTGAAGGCATTATTTAGATGTGATTAACATTTGAATCAGTACTCTTTGAGGAAAGCATATTACCCTCCATCATATGGGTGAGCCTCGTCCAGTCAATTGAAGGTCTTAAGAGAAAAAGATAGATGTCCCCCAAGAAAGAAGGAATTCTGTCTTCAGACTGCTTTTAGACTGTAGCTGCAATGCCAGTTCTTCCCTGGTGTACCAGCTCGCTCATCTGCCATGCAGATTTCGGACTTGTCAGCCCTCACATTCACATGAGCCAATTCTTTAAAGTTTCTCTTTTTCTCTGTCTCTCCATAGATATAATAGATAGACAGAGATTTAGATAGATAGATAGATAGATAGATAGATAGATAGATATAGATCGATAGACAGCTCTAGAGATAGGTCTATCTCCATTTCTATCTATTCTATTGGTTCTGTTTCTCTGGAGAACCCTGACCTAGACCAATGCAGTATGTGACAGGCCAGAACTGATACTTCACACAACTCTGGAGGGCACCATTCACCCTGAGCTGAAACATGCCAGGAGCTTTGTAAATGCTTTGCACATGGCCTCTCATGGAACCCTCACGATAGCTCTTTGAGGGAGCTGCTATTTTTATTCCCATTTTAAAGATGAGGGAATCAAAGGGTAAG